GAGATGCTACATGATGGTGTGCCCCCCAGTGGCACAGCGGTATGTCTGCGGATTTACAACGCTAGAAGCCGGGTTTCGATACCCGTGGCGGGTAGAGAACAGATAGCCCATTGTGTAGCTTTGTGCTTAATTACAAACAAACAAACATGACGGTGTTTACAGGGGAAACAGTAAGTTGGTGGTTGTGTTTACTTATGATGTCTTCAAAATCAATATCTCGAGATTATGTAAAGTCCTAGAAAGGTATAACTCTCGTCAAACTTAGAGGGGTACGTACGAATTTACAATTTGTTTTAGGTCATGATACATTTTTGCATAGGTTCACCAGTCTACTAACCGAGTTGTTTCAGTACTACCCACCTGTAAAATGGTTCCATCTGGGACGTTAACCTGAAACGGACTGACATCCCGTCCAGTAGACATGTGTCACCATTCTCATCCGCTTGTGTCACCAAAGCCGGAGTTCAGCACCGATCCCTAATTATGCCGTCTTGAAGTCGGAGTGATTTGACCTTCAATAAAGGTTGCGTCTGGATCACAGCGAATCTCTGAAATACCACATGCACTGACAAAAGTAACCTAGACTGAGGTTGTGAACATAGTAAGACCACTTTCTTGATATTCTCCCCTCGACTGCTTCATTTACCCAACAGATTAGGTGAAGAAAAGCAGGTGATAAGCTATTTAACAATGTATAGTTTTGTTGGAGTCTTTGTTGAGAGTCTTGTGGTTTTGTTAAATAAAATTGGATCTTAATAGTGGTGTTATTAACCAGAAATCTCGTCTTCGGAAGCGCAGGTAACAGATGAAATTTATTTTTCAAATATGTAAAAACCTTTCTTAACAAAGAAAAACTTACTCATGAGGCACATAAACTAGCTTATGCTTCTTCACGAACGTGTTAGTGAATCTTTGATGGATCAGGCGTGTGTATAACATCACTGAAAATTCAAAGTATCTTAACAACAATCGTCTATCTATTATATTTTCTAGAAGCTATCTAGTAGCTACAATGAGCATTAATAATTCATGATCTTCGGATGACTTTCCGTCAAAACACAATGTAAGTGTTAGTATTTCTTATCTACGAGAATGCCAAGCCTGAACTAAGAGAGAGGGGGCGTCTCAGCTTCATAAATCCTACAGAAACATTTTAAGCTACACAAAAAAACACGATAGGTTTGGTAAACACACCTGATGGTGAGATAAAGACATACACACAATTCATGAAATACAAGTTGTATTAACACTGTGTGTGTGTTGTATAAACAGATAAGAAAGCAAAGAATCATATGACACATTCCCAAACTCGTAAGAGAAATCCGAATCCAAAAGAATTCTATCTCGGATAGAAATAAAGAATAGGGGGGATACAGTAATTAATACAAACATTCGTTTGTGAAATATAAATTTGTTCTTTGAAACTAGTCACAAATGATGAACTTTATCAATAACAGAAGTAAAGTAAGAGCTTAGAATTAGAGTACACTGACGATTCACTTGTAATTATAATACTCAAGCCACGTGCAAGTTATTGTAGGCTATACAGGCAAGACGGCTGCGCAAAAAAAGTAACGTAGGACTTTATAAAATTTCCTGTCCGAATATCAAGAAAGAAAATTCCTTTTTCACATCAACTCAAGTACGTTAAAGTCATAAATTTACAATAAACCCAACTGACGTAAGCCTGTTCTTTCAAAATTTAGCCAAAGCAATATCAGGATTGAAAAACCATGCCGGAAAAAAAAAAACAACTCATTTATGGATTTCCTTTGATCTTTCTACGATGTTATTTTATTTCTAATATTTTTAATATTTAATATTGAATCTGGATGTGGTATTTATGGAACAATTTAGTGAGTTGATTTAAAAAATTAAGCCTAATTCTAACAACTAATAAGTACAAGCCAAGAAGAATATGTAACAATATATCAATCACACTGTATGTGCAATATCCAATGCCGAATAGGCCTTTCGTCAATACTAGAGCTTATCAGACCGACTGGGATACCGATATTTTTAAACATATTCATACAACTACCAAAATCCACAACAATAAAGAACCCGGGAGGAATCTTTTTCATTTGAACGCATGTCATCTTAACAGGAACAACATATATGAAGAAGATTCTATAGTTAGGATGATGGACGGTAACGTTTCATGTCTTCTTATATAGTCACAGAACAAGAATAAGTGTGGGTCTTGAAAGCATATTGTTGCGTCAGCGAAGTCACGTGACTAGTGTCACGCCACGTTTCTAAAACTATCCTGTTCCTTCGGGAGTGCTATTGCATTTGCTAGATTGGGGGTGGTCTGGTATATATAAGATGGTCACGGCGTGACGTGACAGTGTGTGTGTAGGTAGTAAGCAATTGAACTGCAGTCAGAAAGTATTGTTGAAGTTCGTTGTTATAACGTTTGTTATAGAGCGACTGTTGAAAATAAGTGTATCGGTAAAGTTATATTCGGAAAGAGTAAACCAGTTTTATTAAGAAAGGACTTGTGTCACTAAAGTTTCGTGGGAACGAAGTAACGAAAAATTAACTAACGACTGGAGACGTAACAATATATTTTATTCACCTTTATAATAAAACCATTTAAACGTGTCTCAAAACGGCAACAGTATCTGCAGGTAAACAGCTTTATAAAACGTACTCAAGAAACTGATTCTATCACACGTTAAAGTCAGTCGAATATTAATGTTTATATAAACCAATACTTTTGTAAGGCTTAGTAAACTGTGAAACAAAAGTAACAAGAACAAACGGAAATATTGCATACCCTCACCCCGCCGCTCCTTTTCGGGATTGCGTACGTTTCTATGGGATAACATAAAATTTGACCTTCGAAAACTCAAAAAATCATTCTCAGATCTAGAATGATCAATAATCCGGATTATTATATTTATTTTTGTTTATTTTTTTTGTAGTGTGATGAGGAGTCTCAACCTTAATGTACCATAAAATTTGATACAAATCCGATCACACTTTACAGAGTTATTAACCCCAAACCACAAGACAGACAGACACATACACGGCCCAATTGCAATACTCTCGCCGCTCCTCTGGAGACGAGGATAATTAAAACATAAACATAGCATCACACACGCAGCTTGAGATGTACAGAAGACTGTGTTTGTCTGAACTTCGACAAAACCCAGCAGGAATTAAACAAAAAATAAAAGGAAATATAGGTACATTTGTGATATATTTCCAAAACAAGTATGGATATACATATTACACCTATATATGTAAATAAGTTTGGCAAATTTCGTCATTACTTCTCTATTATTTCTTAGTTCAAACTGGTATCTTTCGTCATTACTTCTTAGCCTTACCGAGTTCAAACTGGTATATTTCGTCATTACATCTCTAGCCTTATTGAGTTCAAACTGTTATATTTCGTCATTGCTTCTCTAGCCTCATTGAGTTCAAACTATTATATTTCGTCATTACATCTCTAGCCTTACCGAGTTCAAACTGGTATATTTCGTCATTGCTTCTCTAGCCTTATTGAGTTCAAACTGTTATATTTGTCATTACATCTCTAGCCTTACTGATTTCAGACTGATATATTTCGTCATTACTTCTCTAGCCTTATTGAGTTCAAACTGTTATATTTCGTCATTACATCTCTAGCCTTATTGAGTTCAAACTGTTATATTTCGTCATTACATCTATAGCCTTACTGAGTTCAAATTGGTATATTTCGTCATTGCTTCTCTAGCCTCATTGAGTTCAAACTGTTA